CTGCTGTGCTTCGCTGTGCCAGAAGGGAGATATCTATGTATTACTGTCTGTGTTCTTGGTATGTATCGCACCATTTCAACCAAGCAGACGATAAAGTTTAGTCAGCGGCTCTGGATGTGGCACCCCAAAACGCCACACTGCCAGCTGCCTTGCGGGTTAATCTTTTGTGTAGTAGGCTAGGGTGAGGTAAACTGGAAAAACTATTTCTCTTTTCTCTTTCTTCTTAACCATTCTTTTGATTTCAAGGCTCGGGTTTGGGCGATTACCTGCACACTTCTTTGTCACTCCTCAATCATCGGTCACCCTGATAGCAAACGTTACTGAAACCTTCGGTCGTTAGTCACCAGACCAATGTGCTACCTCCTCAATTCCGGTAAATAAAACAGTACTTCGATAATTCCACCGGATTCTTTCCATTTATGTGCTTTCACCGTCCGTACTGTATAGTAACTTGACAAACGGTAATTTTTTATTAGACATTGTAATCTCCTAAAGTTGACATAATCCAGAAACACTTACACAAAACTCAAGCGTGGTCATCCATGTCAAGGCGCCCAAGATGAACTCAACCCTTTCGCATTTTACTCACTGTGTGTCTGGTACTTCAAAATCCGACACCTTAGTTGTCCGTGGGAAGAATAAATAAATTAAGGAGTACTACTTTTAATAGAGGAGAAGGTACCAGGATTGGATGTCTTTAATAAGACGGTGAATCTCTGGTAACCTACCTGACAAGGCGTACTGGTGAAAGGAAGAAAGCCTTCACTGCGGAAGCATTTATTAGACAATACCAACTGAACAGTTATAGACTATTGGACAGGGAAGCAAAAATATCATATGGATCTTGTATAAAAAACCGAATATCCACCTTCTCTTTGAACGCGTCTTTCTGAACATTCCTGGATATTCATTGACCGTTGCTCAAATCCAAGCAAATGCTACAAAGCATCTCCACAAATTCCGCAATAGATCTCCCTTTTCAGGAGACGCAAAGCGAATTTACGAGAATAAAACATACTACTTGCACGGCTTCCCCATCAGTAGTATCACCGTTACGCTGGTACTATAAAGATTTAAACTTAGGAGCCTCCATAATGAAGCTCATATAAATTCACCCTTGCCTTCAAGAGATGCATTCAAATGCAGCTCGAAAAATACCGTAACATTAGCCCAGTAGCTGTAGCATCAAGGTATCATCGTTCAAAAATTGATTAGCCACATAGATAGGCAGATCTGTGGAAGTAAAACATCCTTCCTTCGTGTAACTGAATGCACCGATCACCTAGTTACGCTCCACCAAATTTCTGAACACTGACACTGCTTCCAAAAACCAGTAATGGTGACCCTTAATGATTTGATTTTGTTGATCGTTGGGGCACTATACTTATGGACCATAAATTTTTGACCCTCCATAAGGCGCTGTACGGTGAGTGTTGTGGACCTCCGAAGCTCATTGGCAAGCTTAACCTGAGTTCAATAATTCCGATAGTGTTAGGCAAAGCTGTCCTCTCGCACCTCTTCTGTTCAATTCGTCGCCGATATGAACACGGTAGACTCACACTCAGCATCTGATACCTGTGGGGCTTAAACACTTACAGGGCCTTTATCTACATTTATCGAGTAATCAGACGACATTGCTCTTCTTGGATACGACGCTGTTGTAATGTGACCGATACTGCATAACCCGAGTATTTCTGCCTCAGTGTTTGCTTTACGCTTCACATATGAAAAGTGTAGATTGGGTGGAATCAAACCTGTGCGGATGAGCCGATTAAGGTTGTAGACAACTTTGCAAACTCTATCAATCCCGTTGAACCAGTCAGACTGGGAAGGCCTGAGCAACTGTCGTCAGTCTGCATTACCTGTAGCGCAGGCGCAACATCAACTTGCCTGTCAAGGGTAGAGTTTACAGCGCTGCGTTCAAATCCAACAAGACCCCTCTCCTTTCTCTCCTTCTCACAATAATGGTAATAATAATAAAATAATATCAATCACCAGAAACAGTAACATCATGGTGGACACTGACGCTTCAACCGTAAAGTTCCCTTATAATTAAAGCATCAAAGTATAAAGGAAAGAAGAGAGTGGTGATGGAGGGCCCTGTTGCTGGCCTATTACAATAATCCTGAGGTGCCTACACTTCCAAGTACTCATTCCGACAATCTGGGGTGAAATTGACGGCACGGACTCCACTGACATCGCCTAACCGCCGTCTCATGTAGTGTCTCCAAGCAAGTGCAAAGGAGTCACGGGTACCCACTTTTGAAAGGCTAGTCGCACCAACAACATCTAATCTCTTCGTGATCTGCTTCACATCGTTCTGTCAAGTGACATGTTCACTTCGCGGTTATCATTATTGTGAAGAAGGCAAAGAGAGCGACATTCGTCTCGGTAGGCAGTGTTTCTGAATGCACAACACATGAAGATGCCACCTCAACTGATTGTGCTAAATTATTCGCACCATATTGCTTTATGGGCATGAAACCTCACTTCCGCGCTCTGAAGACATCAACAAACTTTACTTTTTGACCGCTGGCATCTTCGGAGTGTCACCAGAGTCGGGTGGGAGCAACGGATTAGTAGGGCTGAGGTACGTGGAACGGTCTTTAATTTTCGGCCACAACAGATGAAGTGATCAAACTTCATAGGTTGCGCTGGTTTGTACAGTTGCTCTGTATTCCGGTTGACCGAAGTCCACAGAGCTGCCGTTTCGCAAAACCATGCTGAGGGCGGACATGTGCCAAGCACTTACCTTGAAGCGAAGTATGGAAGCTATTGCCACCAATCTACCCTTCTCTGGTTGCCGTCTTCTCCACGGATGAAGACCAGGGACAGGGCACATAAGTGATTCGAGGCCGAGAAATATGGCCCAGTTGCATGCTCACTTGTGCGCCTACATCCAAACCGTTGACTTTCATGCGTAGCTTCTCCCTATTGAAAAACTCTTATGCCATTCCTGGACTCACGCGCCAAGGATATCACTTGTTGTCTTCAATAGGCTGCTATCCAGGCATGTCTTCCTACATCATCGACGAACAAAACCTTGACAACTATAACCACCATATAATATGTACTGTGTTTACAGCTGCAGTTAATGATGATGGTGATCAAGTAAATTTAGGAGAGACTGGCCCCGCTTATATCTTTGGCGTGATGCCATATTGGAATCAAAGTAGCAGACCACGTTAATCAAGGAATAAAGGATGAATTAAAGTGCATTAATTCGAGTGTATGGACCATCCAGGGCTATATCAGCGTCAGCGGCTTCACACTCAGATGAGGGAGAGGAACAATTCCACACTCAGCTGTCGGCCCTAAGCAGGCATCCACCTTCAAACACGTCTTTTACGTTCAGCGATTTCAATGCTCGGGTTTGCACAGAATGAGAAACCTGAAAGAAGATACTTGGTCTGTTTGGAATCGAGTCAAAGAGCAACAACGATTGGATACTACTGAAAATGTGTGAAAAGCTGCACTATTAAAATAAAACATGTGGTTCAATATTGGGTAGACATCGTTTGCCACGTGATTTCATCCAACAAGTCCTACGGACACGTATTTTGATATAGCGTCGGACAGATTGAAGACCTGAATTACGCAAAGATCACAAAAGTGATGCACAGACAGGAATGTAATGCAGATCACGCTGTGGTACATCGTTGTACACTGAAGGATGAACGCTTTCAAGTTTGCTGTAAGAAAACTGGAGAATTGGGGAGCGACATCAATGTTCTTCCAATCTCTAACGCTAAAGGTACTGGGTGGAAGATCTCAGACGCACTCCAATGACAAATCTGTAAGGAAACAAACACATTCAAACAGTTACTATGGCTACCAGCATTATAAAGTAGGAACTGAGGCGAGATTGTCTCGATGAAAGTGACTCACTGATATCCACATAATTCGAGAAGAGAATATGGCACGGGATCCAACAAACGGAGTGCTCAAGAAACAACTTGCAAGCGATAGGACCAAGCACCTGTGGAAACACCTACGGAAAACTGAAAAATGAGTGATGGATGCAATGAAGCGAAAAGACCCCATAGCATGCTGATAGCCGTTGTCAAAAAGAATTCCTTGCTGGACTGAAATACATCTATGGGAATAAACTCCAGTACCTTTGGTTGATAGAAGAGAAACAAGATGGTGAGAAACCTAACGAGCGCAACGAAGTTCTGGCGGTTTTTAAGGCACTTTCAGGCGACACTCGGCGGGCTAGGAGACGTGAATTGGAGCTAGATAGCCCATACAATGAAAAACTATCTGGCCAACTTAACTACAACCGCAGGGCTGCTGACGGCCATAAGCGGGTGAAGACTGCTTGACAATGAGATTTTCGAGCTGGAAGGACTGAAGCCAGGAAACGGGCTTTAATTACTACGCCTTCTGCAAAAGTCCGCGAAAGCAGGAACGATTCCCCTCTATGAAACCAAAGGATGACGTCAGAGGACGGATGAAGCCAGCAGTAGACAAGGCTATGACTTAAATCCTACCCAACCTACTAGTCGCTGAAAAAATGGCGAAAGAATTTCCCGAAGAGTAATGTTGATTCAGAAGAGTCAGGGACACGTTTGGCGGAGATGTATCCCGGAGAAATGACGTGGGTTGAATCAGCTGCTCCAAGAAATATCTGTGGAATTTACAATGGCCTTTGACTCATTCAGCAGAGATACGCTGTAAATGATCGTACGCTGTCCTCGTCACTGTACTGTAACGCGATCTGGATGCCATATGGACGATGGTCCTAGATTCATGACCGATTTCCCCAGACTCTTTCGGATCAAACGAAAGCACCGGATCCTAGACGTCGAAATTCTCTGGAGAGTAAACAATCCAAGACCAGCTGAGCTAACAAGGCCACGACCAAAACTCACATGTCAAGGCATTTTGCGTCTAGTCAGCTGAAGAATGGAATTCGAATTCGGGAATGTAGTTGGAAATCCCGCAGCTGGGAGAATCTTCAGATATCTTTGGAAACATGTCCTCCATTTTATCTCCAGCGAGGAACGGGCGCGCGAAAGAACTGTTTGACAAGCAGGGATGTGAAGCTCCAATGATTCAAAACAGTATAACACTACGGATTGGTCTCACTGTCCCCAGTACAGCCTTCACAATGTGGACCTGCCCAGTATGCAGACACACTCGTCGTAGTGGGATAGGCTTTTGAGTTGCCAGCAAACTCAACGGTCCACCTGAAAAGCGTAACCACATGGAGCCCAATCCTGTTTGTTTCACCTTATAAAGCGAGCTTTTTACACTGAGGATGATGTCATCAGCCGTATGGATAATCGACTACTGTCAGATTACTTGAGTGTGCCAATGGGCGTTTCTCGGTAACACATTTATGACGCCATACTGTGTGCGATATCGCGTTGAAATTTATAGGAATTAATGGCTGGTTCCGATTTCTTGATGATGAACAAGTCACTGATGTCGGTGTCCACTGTTTTGTCACGTTTGGGGCGGTCCTGGCTTGCAACGGGCCCCGTAATAGTTCCTCAGAAAAATTGGAAACAGAGGAGAAATCTAGAGCTACTATCAAAGAAGTTGGAGTATGTTGAAGCACCCAGAATTTGGAAAATACGCAAACATTTTTGCTCCTACTGTGTTTTGGAAAGTCAGGTTGGCATTTTTGAAAGCTCAGATAGTGTGAATGGAATGTAGAGCTGAATGGTGTATTTCGCAAAGCTCTAGCAGCAAATTGGGCCAGTTTCATTCAATTTACTTTCATATGTGTACCGCGATATCTCAAATATCGTAGCGACTGAAACATAAGGCGGCCTGGTGCAGCACATTCGGTTACCTGGGAACATCAAAACCGAGAGATTCAGCTGGGTTCCAGGTGAGTCTCTCGAAAAAAACAAATTTGTTTGCGAATGAGTGTATATTTGCTAATTTCGTGCATTTTGGTTTCAAGTAGAACATAAGGTTGACGGAAACTCGGGGATCGCGCCTACCTGATGAGCCTCAGAAAGGGCGAAACAGGTCGAGGGCTGTCGAGGAGTTTTCAGCAACTTCATGAGTAGCATATTACAGTTTCATTTATGTTGGTTACATTTCTTCCAGCTGAGAAGAATTGTGGTCATTTCAGTTCAAATAGAAGCCGGTAGTTGTAGGTGGTTCCGAGGTTTCCAGGATTCGCAAAATAAGACAAATAGGCTCCTCCAGATCAAGTGGACTGGAGTTTGTAACACACTGTTTCCTACGGTGTTTACTTGCTTGAAAATCGCAATTTGTATCGGAATTTCTGAAGATACTCGGAATTCTGAGTACTCTTTTGTGGGCCTACACATATCCGCCCCCATGAATTACGAATCACTGGTACATCACCGCACACTAATACTTCCACGTACATAAATTTTAAAAAATCTAAATTTCGTAATTTCGCATTTCATAGATATTCTTTCTAGGAAAAGGTGGACAAGTTTCCTTGATTTCAAGACGTGCACAGCATGCAGTGGCCGAATTGGATGATCAACTTAAGGATTAATTTGAGGGGAGATGTTAGTCATGAAGCTTGGAAGAAAATCCATTCAGCCCGAAATTGGATCCGGTGTGTGGTAAACGAGCTTCGAAATCCACAGTGAGCTTCTGGTAAGACCGGCAAGTAGCTTCGGGGTTGTGAAATGCCAAACAAATGAGAAGTATCGAGAAGCCAACTAATCATCGGCATAAACTTAACAGTGGTGTTTTATTTGCAAAGGCTGACGAGGCTCATCTCTTGTAAGTCCTTCAGATCTAACACCAATGGAGTAGAAAGGAATGTAATACTTTGACGTCCAAAACTTTTTTTCGGTTTGTTGCCACATTCCATCTCTGGACACAGATTTTAGTCTATAAGCTAATCCATTTGTGATGGCGTTCGTACTTATCACCACAGTCTTTAGCAGCAGCTGCAGCAAATAACTCATCGTTGTAATGAACACTATCACTCTCTTCGTTGCCATGGCAGTGGTAGCTGTCATCAGCATCGAAACTGCAACTTTCGAAGGGAACGCTGCTACATCGCACACCTGAAGCTGATCGTACAAAATAACTACCAACCTTGGTGAACGTCTCGACGCGAGCATTCATTTGTTGAAATTACCTATTTCAGGTCCAGTAGCGGGAGAAGTAATGTGGGGATAAAGTGAAGAGACCACTGGCCGAAACTTATTTCTAACTATTTCATTCGAAGCATGCACGGAAATTCAGGGACCATAAAATATTAAATGAATGGATGTTCAACACTCCCAAGTATGGGACCCGGAGTGCTGTATATATATATATT